TTTTCATTGTCGCTTTGAGATACTATTATGATGGGAACATTCTCGGTGAGCTTCGTGTCATTGAAAGATTTCATGATTCAAGTTTCTCTCCACAAATTTCTATCTTTGGGATGGGCTGTTGTGGCTTTTTCGGAGTCCGGCGTTATATCATTATATTTCACCAAATGTAAGCGTAGAGATTTCTCCCACGCGGCGACGTGAAGCAGGGCCATGGTGTAAGTCTTGTGTGCACCAACTTCGTGAACTCTCAGGTTTTTGTTAATGATATGAGAAGTTTATCTTATCTTCGGCTTGACGCACATCCTAGACATAAGTATTGCTGCCAAAAGAGTGTCCTATTTATAGTCGTCTTTCTCGGTCGTCATATCTCCTTCTCCAAAACTCACAAGATGGAGATATCTAGAGTAATTTTCACAATCTTTATAGTATCTAAATCAAGATAATCCCGTATAGCTACCTACACAGATAACTTGTTGGCAGAAATTGCCTCTTTTTTCTGAGTGGTTAGGTAGTAGTCAAATGGAAGATGAAGGACTAAAGGTTCCCTCTTGGCGATTTTTCTTCTTTCCATCTTTTGACCCCTATATGTCTATTTTGCCTCTTCGCCTAACACTGCTCCCACTGTTCCTCGCTGCCTCTAAGCTCTATACCAAACCCTAGCCCGCCAGCGTCACAACTGCTACAACTGTACTAAAACAACCCTTTCAGCCAATTTTCTATGAAGCGGGTACTATGCTACTGTACAAGGCAATAGGAAAAGAGTCTTTCGCTTCTATGTAGGCAAAATTCTTTTCATCTTGACATAAACTTCGTGCCATTTGATTGTTTCCTTGTACAGGACGAGTATTCTTGGCATGACCTTGGATTCTCGGTGTTGGTGCCTGTAAGGTAGGAATTAACTGGAGCAGGAATCACATTAGCGATGTCGTCGTTATGACCCTTGCGCCACCCCCTTCTCGGAAGTCTAGCGAGAATTGAGTGATTCCTGAGTAGAGCTCGGACTTTTGGTATGCTGTACCGAGGTGGTTCATTCTCTCAGGACTTCAGGATCATCGAACTTTGAATTCGAGAAAGGATATGATGATCTATATAGGGTATTTTGTCAAAAAGGTGGGATCACAGGACTAGTCCTTGAAATGTTGACTACTTTTGTCGTGAAATAATTCAAGCAATAAGAATGCATGTTCGCCCCAGACTACATTTTGTAGCGAGTCCGTATTCCTAGGCACCGAACCGTGATCCGGCGACACGTCTTGAACGCTCAAGTGTTGAAATTCCTTCCTCACAGTATTCGAACGCTGAAGTGAAGTAAACATTGTCTTGTTAGAGCTCAATAACGGCAAGAACGGAGTGTATCGATGTCATTAATCTATTACAGATAATCGAGATATGTTATCTTGTCTCCGCAAATGGCACAAAGAAGATTGGCAGGAAAGCAATAGCAGTCAGCGTGAAGGTGATTACAATTGTAAATTTGCAATAATACCTATATCCTCGTGTAGGGCCCGTGACGCTAGGCAATCTTAGGCCGGTGGGAAAAGTAGGAAGCTTCCCTTACATCAGTCTTGTCAGACCGAGCGTGGGAGGTATCGCAGGATTTTAAGACCTTGTACTAATCCCTGCTGGAGGAAAGGTAATTCACAAGCTGCCATTTCCACTAAGAACGCTCTTGGCGGATGCCTTCTCCCTGGTTGGTATACCTAACCTGTTTCTCGCAGTGTTCGCATGTCCCTCAGGGCGCCATGATGCATCAGGGACCAGGCGTGTTTTTGAGCCAGAATAGTCTACTACATATAATAGGAAATGGCATACTTAAATTCTTAACACCTCGTTTTCGTGCCTAAGGTCTTTTCTAGTAATATCAGGTTTCCAACAGAAAGTAGTTGGAAGAATGCCGTTTTAGTTTGTATTAAAAAGCGCATGACCGGGGGCGCTAGCCGCGTCGAGAAAATCATCAATGTGAAATGAAAATTAAGCAAAATTATTAGATTAAATATGATTTTTTGCGCCTATAACGACGACCCCGAGTACCCTATTGGGTCCGTCCGCTAATACCTCTCCATAGACCTGTACTAGTCTCAAGAATATCCTGTGACTTGGAAAGACGGTCATCGCGCCGAGAAATCCCAGCACTGATAAATATTTCCAAGTAGTCCACAACTCTTGTAATTCAAAGCCTGGAAAAAGATTCAACTCATGAGTCATGATGGTAGCCAGCCATGATACCAACTCGGAAGGACGCGACAATGGTAAACGTATAAAGTTAAATAGGAAAACGATACGAGTCCAGTGATCATATGTGCTAATCGTCGTATGTTGATCGCAGAAATTATCAGCACAAAGAGAGGCGCAGAGAAAACACCGCGAAACGCAGAAGGAAAGGAGAAAATATGCCCAAACAAGAATCGAACACTTGGAGGGACTACTCCAAGAATCTTGTCGGGAAATTCAGGAATCGAAATTTCAGCTTGTGAAATCTCAGGTCGGCCATTCCCAGTGCGCGCAGCGGGCAGATCAAGCACAGGAGACATTGAGAAGGAACCAGCGCATTCTTGAACAGGTGGTGTTGACTAGTATTGAGTGGTTGGAACGAAAGGAGATGGATTCTTCTAAGACTGTGAACTACTCGAGGGGCAATAGCTACTCGATCGGGGTCACGTGTGCATCTAATCGTGTATCACGTGTGTAGGACGCGGTCCCGCGTCAACTAGGCTGTCACCTTCAAGTTCTCACCTGGACAACAACGCTTATACCAAATTGGGGGTTTCGGACAGCTGATTGACCATTACGCCTCGCTTGAATCCCCAGACTCAGTCTTGGCCTTCTTATCACCAGTATCCCCAATGCCAGGGAACGGGTCGTTAGGGATTCCCTCGAGCGCCATTGAGTTGACGCGAAAGAGAGATTAGCAATGGTTATGTTGGATGCGAGGTAGACCAAGACTCCCACGGACCCCCTGTCCGAGCTGACTGAGCCATTGGAAAAGGTTGCTCTGCAGTCTGCACCTTAAGGCGTGAAAGAGATATTTCTGACTCCTACCGCCTCTGGAGAATAAATACCCTGTGAGATACGAATGGCGCCACCAGTGGTGCTGTGTATCATCGCTTGGAATCTTCTATTGAAGAATGAAGCGTACGCTAAATACATCTCGATTATCATACGTACTCAGCCTCCTCTTTACAAAACCTCTTAAAATGTGGTATTCGCCAAGGATTCTATAACTTCAATGAAATAGTCCAGCCGTTACGAAGGCTATGCCACCCACCTTATCAGCTTATCTACCCGTACTTTGTAGTATCCGCGTGCGGCGCGTACTCATATCAAAAGAATATATCTGATTCTTCCATAACTCTGGTATCCGTGGTCTACGGACTTCATCATCAACATCATCAATATTATTAATGATATTCAAAGATTGATTGATCCTCCGTAGGGAATTAATTCAAACAGACTTTATATAGTCAAAATTCTGGCCGAAGCTCAAATTGGCCCCTGCAGTCTACTTAGTACTAGTAACAAGTAAAAGTGATATAATCTAATAAAGGGCGCTGGTTAGAACCGTGGTATCTTTTCTTTGGCAAAGTAGATGGTCACGTGCATATTTAGTTCGTACGTAATATATAACAATACTAGTACATCTTCAATTCGCATCACGGTCAAAAATTTGGTTTTGATTAATGAAACGTTTTTAATTTGAAAGTCGTTGTTTTTCATTTGTTTTGGCTCTAATTTGCGTTCACTAGTATATACAAGAGTTGAAGAGTACCGTACCCAGTACGGCACCGTAATATAACTAAATAACTATAACCACCTAGCCACTAACGTAGTTCCCGGCCGTCCCGGCCACCCCAATACACCATACTAAAAGCGATAAATTACAACTTCATATCTCAACAAACATATCTATTTTAGATAATATATTAAGCGTATACAGTCTAGGTACTGTTTTTAACCTACTAGTATGTTGTAGGAAAATTACTCCAAGAATAAGTTGAGATATATGTGTTTAAATCTTAAACGTCAAACTTACGCTGTATTTTATGGTAAAGCATCGAAATAATCGTCTGAAAGGTGTGAAATCTAGATATACTCTTTATATACCCTAAGAGATGTATATACTAATATTTTGACGGAAATAAAACTCTGGTGGTTGAAATATAAAGGAATTAATATTTAGCATTTTGTATATGTTTTGGGGTGGCCGGGACGGCCGGGTGGCCGAGACGGCCGGGAACTACGTTACTCTTAAACACCTCACCCAAGTGACCCGAGAGACTCAACTTAGACCTCATCTAACGTACTCAACGAGTCAACCTCGACCTTATCCAACACGTTAGTGACGTTACACACTCAAATTAGACGGAGACCTTATCCAACGCACTCAACTTAGGAAAGTTAGAAAGTTAGATCTCATCCAACAATCAACACACTCAGAGTCTCAGACTACCCAGTAACTCAACTTAGATCTTATCCAACACACTCAACTTAGACCTCATCCAGAGAACTCATCTAAGACCTCATCCAAATAGTGTAGTCGGTAGTAATCCTAAACCCCTATCCTTATCACTTGATTACAAATAAAAATATAAAGTATTACTCAAGGAAGTTAAGGTTTGGGTTTCGATTCGTAGAGCAGTAAATCCTTTAATTTCAATGCCTAGTAAAATTCAGAAAATCTATATTTAAATATTTATTCTCTACCCAAAGCTCCAGGAACTTCGAACACCATAGTAACACGGTTGCGCAACAGTGCCGCATCGGGTACACCGTACGGTACTCGACAAAAGACGTTGAGAACTGAGAGGGACCGTGTTGGCGTGTTCTATCAAGTACCATACCCGATGCGGCACGGTTACGCAACTATGCTACCACGGTATTTTAGAACACTTAGCGGGCGGCATGGACCGCATGGTATATCATATCTGAGATGGGTTCGGTGACCAGAGCTCCAATCGCGTGCGATATATCAATCGTTGTGAACTTGTGACTGCTACCTTCCGATGAAGCTCATGAACCTTCCTAATGAGATTTTGCTTCATATTGCCAGTTATCTTGGAAAAGAGCTGGACATCAATGCGTTCTCGCAAGTCTGCAGACACCTTCACTCATTACTCGATCGTACTCTGTACCAGCACAATGTTCGCTATTCTGATAGTACCGCTCTGCTCTGGGCAGCGCGTCAGGGTCGTGTCGAAACTGCAACAAAGGTCTTGGACGCATGTTGCCAGCGCCAGGCAACTATCAATGACCGGGAACACCCATCAGCTGTAAAGGCGATAATGGGCACTTCTGTATCTGGATCTGCCTGTACTCGTCTCGGCAGAGAGGACATTACCAACAGGCTTCCACATATCACCATCCGATCCGTTGACGACAATGGTCAGCCGTCGACGCCTCTGATGGCATGTATTAATTCGCGTACAATTGATTTAGGCCAGACAGCCTTGTCAATCGCTGCAGAGTGTGGGTATCTAAAATTCGCGGAACTCTTGATAGAAGCCCAGTGTGATATCGAAGCGTTAGATCGCAATGACCACTCTCCGCTATTTCACGCCATATGCAATAAACATATCAGCCTGGCGAAGTGTCTGCTTTTGGCGGGAGCTGATCTCCACGCACAGGCCTTCCCCGAAGAATCGTTGATCTGCTGCGCTGCAAGGTGCGGCCATCTTGCGTCCTTGAAACTGCTTCGTGAATATGGGGCATTTTCGAAGCTTGAACCCACGCCCGTACTTCGATTACTGCCATTACAGGTGGCTGTAAGTGGCAAGCATTACGAAGTGGCTGAATTTCTTCGGGGGGCCCTGGAGTTGGACGCATTGATTGAGCTGGAAAGTGAGAACGTCCGCGCTTTACTGATTTCCATAGCTGCTGCTTGCGGCTGGGAGGATTTTGTGCATCGACTGCTGATCCTTGAATGCCCGGTGGATGTAATCGCGCAAGATGAAGCCATATCATGGCCCTCGAAAAGAGTGTATCCCTTATGCAGAGCAGCCGCAAACGGTCACTACCGAGTTGTACAATTACTCCTAAAGTGGGATGCGAGCCCCAATCCCCCGCCCGGGCACCGAGCGGAGATGGGGCCCTTGTTTTGGGCAATCCAGGGTGGATACACCATGATTGTTGAACTCCTCCTTGACAATGGAGCGAATCCGAATACACCCGACTCCCACGGGGAATCGATGCTGGCGTTGTCTTTACCACACGCTGCGATATTTCGACTGCTAGTATGGCGAGGCGCTCATGTCATCGATAGGAGAATTGTCATTTGTATGAGGATCTTGGCGCTTTCTACTTGTTCTGTTCTCAGCTATTATTTATTCATGGTCTAGGAGTTGTTAACGGGGCGACGGCGCTGCTTGCTATGGCACGTATGGAGGGAACCTAAGCTTCGGCAATGACTGAAGAACAGGGCGAGTCCCGTGAGAGCATCCATATATCGACCCGAGCAAGCGGCGGTATTGGAACGTCTCCTTTACAGTCTCTTCAATTTAGACTTGGCAACTAAGCTACGCATCGATTCTGTCACAAGAGCCGCCGTATTTATGAACGAGATGATCCTTATGACTACCTCGCGAAGATATCAAAAGGCGTGCGGAAAAGGCATGCAACCGTGAACTCTTCGGGGCACCCGTCGGTAACATCTAGCCTTGCACATGAAGCAGCTAGACGTCCTGCATATGGATCCCGCTCTATCAGTCCAAGCTTGATATACCTGAAGACGTATGCATTGTGGAATGTCAACCCAGCCGACCCAAATGAACATGCCCTCGTCTCCGTATTTTGTATCAACGCGGAGTCGAGCTCGTCTGTCGTTTTCACATTGCTGTAAGCGCCGCCCAGCGGAAATTGTCGAGTGCAGTCGGCATGTTTCTTGGGCGTATGATGGATTATGAAATACCAACTTTGTGATTGTTGTTTCAATGTCGATACCGAGCCATACTCCGTGTGGTAGATCGCGCTCTCGTGCCTGACGCATGACATGCTAACATGACACCCCGGCATGATAACCCAACTCACTGGCTATGTGCGCTCCTGAAGAGGGCGGGTGAGTTAATGGAATAATGTTTTTCCGAACCCGTGCTTGCGCCTCCGGAAACTGTTCGGTAGAAAAGGAGCCACGCTGAAGGCAGGATGTGATTTTCATGTTTCAATTTAATCCCCTTAACTCAAACCCTGCATATCCGATCTTTGTTTGATCAGCAAATTTCAGTAATACTCTACTCGTGACGCGAGATTTTCGGGCAATCTTAGGGTAAAAGCCCAGCTACAGCTGGAAGCATGACTTGCTTTTCTCTCTTTCTACGATCCTCGATCGATACTAACACGGTCGCACCTTTCAATTTCCCTGCATCGTACGCCTAAGACCCCCAGGAGAGTCACCAGCTACTAGGTACTATGATAGAAGCATGTTCACTAGGCTTTTTTGGCTTTGAGTTTGCGGTGTTTGTGACATACTGTAAACCGAAAATCAGAAGATAATAATTTCAAATACTGAGACGTCGAGGCAGTCAAAATGCCTTATTCATTAGTTAGCTAAACATTGGCTAAAAAACTAACTAGTTAGTTAACGTAATTCACAGCCATCTCGGCCACACGGTCAAGTCGGCCACCCCAAACACCATACTGAAGGCGATTTTTCACATCTTCATATCTCAACAACAACATCTATTTATGAAACGATATTAGAAGTGTATCATCTAGATGGTGTTTACGCCCTATCCGCGGGGTATGGGAAATTTACTAGAAGTATTAATAGAGATCTACATACTTATGTCCACGACGTCAAAATTACGCCGTATTTTCTCGTAAAGCATTGAAATAATCATCTAAACTGGCTAAATCTGCGTTATATTATTTTGTATTCCAAGGGAAGCCTATATCCTAATATTTAAGTAAAAATAATCTATGGTTGTTGAGGTATGAAGATGTGAAAAATCGCCTTCAGTATGGTGTTTGGGGTGGCCGACTTGACCGTGTGGCCGAGATGGCTGTGAATTACGTTAGTAACTTTGATTGGATCGCTTAGTCAACTGAACGCTTGCTTTTTCCAAAAACAAAAACTGCAGTTGCGCGAGCTGCTACCACCATCTCACCGGAAACCGGATCTGCCATCTTGATGCTCCCTTCCATGTAAATCTTCCGGCCCTCAGCTTTCACCGGCCATGCACGCAAAATCAGCGTCGCGTCCGGGTGAATCGGTTTCTTGTAGTCAACTGTCAAGCTCGCCGTAACTGCGGGATTGCAGCAGTCTGCGAAAAGCTGATCCAGAAGGAATGCCTGATATCCACCATGTACTTTGCGCGGATAATAACAGATCCTCTGCTTCGCATTTAGATCAAGATGTACTGTTGCATGTCGACTTCCATCGATATCGCTGAAGTCGGGCCGATATCCCGCAAGAAGCTCTCCGTAGAGATGACCCGAGTCCAACGGCTTTGTTTGGGAGGACGAGGGTGTCGATGATGAACACACATCTCGAATCGGCTTATGGATTATAACGCCGGAACGGGAACGCCACCGGGCGACTGGGTAAACGATCAGGCATGCTGACCTGCGCGCCAAGCATATTCCTTTACCACTTGTTCGAATCAGACTGGAGTGGGACAAGACGCTGGTCATTCGCAACAATGAGCTCATTATTGTTTTGTTGGATTCTAGCAGACTGTGGTGATGGAAAGGGATTGGAAAGGTTGAAAACAACAACAAGCGAGTACCACCGCCCTAGATATTTATGCGCGCACACGTTGATAACCACTGTTAGCAATCACGTTGAAATTGTTCGAATATTCATCGTGTAACGATAAGATGCGGTACTTCTTATGAGCAATGAGGATACTATTATGCACTATCGACTCGGAGCAGTGTTCATAGATAAATGTGGTGGCGGTCGACCTCCTTTCGGTCAGGGGCGAAAGAAAGCAAAAACACATCCTAAGCTCTTGAACATCTTAGTCTATTGAGTATCTGCGTCCTAACTAAATATCAGGTGATACTTTGTAATCACACTACATTCGTTCGAGAACATATCTCTATGGATGCACCCCGAAGTATGGTATGATGATTCATTTAGACATTACGCATTGCAGTAGTGATATCTCGATTGTATAAAGCAATACGTCAAACTTGGTCATTTGTCTAAAGATGCTCAAAATTACCGCAAAAATATCGAATGGAAACGTGATTGCATAGGTGGGAATGTCAAATTATCGCTCAAGCCACGATTCAGCCAAGTAGTAGTCCAACATATAATGGCGTTTGAGTCTGAAAGCTTTGTGGTGGGTGCTCGCAACTTTTCATATCATGGATAACCCGGATCCCTGATCGCTTTCAATTGACGGGGCCCTAAATTTCGAGCAGCTAGCAGTCGTGTCGATATAGCCAGCTCACTATGCTAGCAAATCGAAAATCGAATCCGCGTTCTCGGCTCCGGGCGTTTAATGTCGTCTGAAATTGTATATAGATGCAAGAGTGTATTCGCGAGATTTTAGTGACCCTGACTCTACGAAACGCAGCTGTCGGATCGACAATTCATCCAGTATCTGACTGGTAGCTTGAGGCGCTAGTCTTAAAACCCATACGGACTATCGACCGAATGACTCGGCAGCGGCAATGGCCGAAAGACCGACAATGGGCAGAGGTGACTAGAATCTTTTCTGGCTCGGACATGACTATCCACGGTGACGACTTTAGGGCGTGTACCTGGGACCTAGGTGGAGGTCGGAGTGTAACATTGACGTTCGTACGCCTGTAGTCATACCGCCACACCATGTAGAGTTTCAAATCCAGTCTGTGAGTCTTGTCTGCTACGGTATTATTCTGAAATTTCCATCCTATAGTGATCTCTATCATCCCTTAGTTTTAGTCTATCGCGGTCCGCGGACCAGAATCCTATTTCTAAATACGCCTGAAGCGGTTTAGCGCCCAGCCTCATTTGTGTCATTATTTGCTTTTCTTCGCCTATCCGGTGGGGCGTTAAATTTCGATCGGTCGAGACCTTTTCTCAGATTCCTAATTCTTCGGTTACAGGGATGAGCCCGCCTTTGAATCACAGAGGGTTTCTGAGGATGAGAGTATGAAAGGGGCGACTCTCATAATCACTTCTTCTTGCTTGACCGAGTGCATGAGTAACTAGGTATGAGCTGATATGGGCTGGTATGAGCTAGTCATGCTACACACGGTTTGTTACTATTGCAGTACGTCCTGTTCCCGAAGTGTGCCTGCGACGGTAATGCAAGGGCGACCGCTTTTTCCCTAGATCGAAAGCTCTAACCCGCGTTCCCTAGGTGGGGCTGGCATAGTGACCACCCCTTCTCCTGTTTCTAAGTACCGAAATATCACGAGCATAACAATAGGACTCTGGATTTCATAACAAGACAATACTTAGCTATCATACAGCAATACAGCCTGTCTCCCGATATATCCCTGTAACGTATGACCAACTACCTCCACCATTATTACTTGGATCTGTCCATTTTCAAAGACCAGGATCCTTATAACTCTTAATATTTGAAGTATATTCATCCAGTAAGTTTATAATTGCCTAGGGTGTTTCCCCTGCGTAGGGAGTCAGCAGGAACCCCTTCCTTCCCTCTTACTATCTGCTTGTGCTGAAATGTAGGCCAAGTGTATTTCTTTTGCCTAGTAGGATGTATATAGGCAGTCAATTGTGTAGGTAGTCAATTGTGTAGGTAGTCAATTGTGTAGGTATGTCAATTCATATCGTCATGATGTTTTCCTTCCAATTGCTTGATGCATTTACGCTTAATGCCACCAACAAGTGATTTGGTAACACTAGCTTAGTGATCGGCTGACCAACACCCAGACTTTTACATGAGGCATGGTCATTGATCGTTCTGCCCATTCGACTGATTCCTTTCTGCACCTCGGGTGTAAGGTATTCCCAGTCGATCGATGCACAGGGAGAATTAATATATAGTATTATAACTGAGCCTTTACGATGGAGGTTGAAATAAAGCCACATGCACGATCATACACCTTGAAGTACGTACATAAGCAGTCCACTGCTCTTTGGCCCGTGGATAGCAAGGGTGAATCAAAGCTTGAGGCAAGGCTTTACTCTGATCGGCGGGGGATAGGAGGCCAGGCCTTCGTACAGGCAAAAGAGGGAGAGGGAGAGAGAGAGAGAGAGAGAGACAGAGAGAGACGAGATAATAGAAAAGAATCACATTCAGAAGATACAAAGAAAGAGAAAGAAGGAATCGTGCAAGATATGGCACAGAAAATACCCTTCTATTCTTTCACATGACAGGTGCTAAGCCAACATGAAAAGAGGAAGTAATCTCCGTAAACACTGAAAAATAATTTAACGTCTTTGTACAGTGCCGAGCAACCACGACGCAGCAGCGTACATATCACGGGGAATGCAAAGGAGGTCCGATACCTCGCCTTAAACGAGAAAGCGCTACGCGTCAGCATAGTGCGAAGCCTCCCTCAAAGGTCGATTATCCGTTCACTGCATGGGAAAGCGGTTAGGCTGTGGTAATAGAACTTGTTTTATACATTAAAACGATCGCCTTCGAATTTGCGAATTACGAAAATGTGTTCAAATTTGAATTTGAGGGAGAAGGTAAAGCCAATGATTAGTAGTTCACAGGGCATTCGCCAGCGGCAGGACCTCGGAAATCTCCATGTTAAACAAAGTGAAAAGAGCGGCACGGTATCCACATCTCAATTCTTATTATACCTGATCAATTGCACAAATTCAGAAAACTAAATTCAGAAAACAATATCAAAGATTGAATACCGGTAATTTTCACTGGGAGATATCTCTCTAATGCAGAGACGACCGGATTTCTAGCGAAATTCGAGAGCTAGGCGTTCTACAGACATGGCTTCGGGGGTTGCGCACCAGTGCATCCATTGCTTTTCCACATTAATTGGCAGGGAATTTTATGAGCAGCATTGAAAAATTCTTGATGGGAGTATGTATCAGTCGCCTTTATTAGCTCCGCCATTTGAAGATGTTGGTACAACACGCCCTGGTTATATTCAAGTGCATACTTAACAATCGCCGGAACGTTGAACCAGCCCAACCGGAAATCAAATCTTGACGTCAATGATTTGAGTCGCTCAGAACTATATTCATTCCCCTCTGATTGGGTTTGAATAATCACGGAAAGAGAAGAGGGACTGAGATTCTCAGCGTTTTCGTAAAGCCCAATGAGAAAATTCACGTCATGCAAGATAAGATAAAGTTGACGTATAAAATGAAAATGACTCTTCGGGGTCGGTAGGCAAATTGATGATTCTAGAAGGCCCTGTAGTTGTTCAAGGAGCGGATAAAGTATTTTTGGCCTCTTTTTCGTCGTAGAAAAATTGCCTAATCGTCGGAAACATGTTTTAGTTTGGAGCATCAGAACCTCAATGGGCACTTCCTGGGCGATGAACCTGAAGAAGTGGGGGGCGGTGTGCATTTCCGAGTATTTTATTCATTCATTCCTGGCGAACCCGGCTGCAGATATTTATATGTGGTCTATCTTGGATAATAAGACCTACGTTTACAACCCAAGTTGACTTTGAGAGAAGCTAATAACACGCACAGACTATACAGGGATGAAAATAACTACTAAACCTTACCCGCGAGGGATTTGTGGTGCTTACTCGTGTAGACAACCTCAAATCCTGCCAACGAACTTTAAGTGAGTCGGCGACCAACATGACAGCGAAGTGTTGTCCAAAGTTCTCCCATTTTATAAGATAAAGTCTGTCGTCAAGCAGTAGTGGAAGTGTGACATTTTCAAGGCAATACCCTAGTGATAAAAGTCATCTCCCTTACTCAGTTTTAATGTAGCCCTCGATTGTCGTCTGGTCCCTCGCCCCTTGAGGCTCTTCCGGCGTATCGACCAACAGTTGAAGGGTTTCTCCTCATGGCTCGTTTTTTACACTCACCTTCCTAATGTTTGATACAAAATATCCATAACGCACGTATCGAAAACCCGTGTATATAGAGACCTCTGGAAGTTGTTTCCCTAATCTCCGACCGTTAAATGTTGCCCGATAATGACAAAGCAATTATCGTCGGCATTTCGGCAATCAAGCAAGTAGCAAAGCCAGTAACCTGAATGGCGCCTGAACATCCGCAAAGATACATAAAGAAACTCCAGCCTACCGACGAGATGAGAAATTTCCGTCAATGTATTGGTTCCTAGCTGCCCTGAGCCTCACATTTGTCCTATGGTTGTGGATGCCCACTCATAATATGGCATTCGTCAAAGTTTTTGTCGTTTTATTCTCTTTCGCAATATTCATTTTCAATAACGGTTGTACGGCATAACATTCAGAATTGGGGCTTGCGATACAGGATGCTCTTGAAGGACTTTCTGGGGCTAATCAGCCACGGAAACAGTAATCCGTGGAATATCCAGAACGACCTTTCAGCGCTCATAGATCAAGAACATCCAAGATGACAATGCCTTCATTCCTCAGCCCCGGCATTTCATAAAAATCAGGCAAATTATATACTCATTGAGAATTGTAATGGTGGTAAATGCCAAGGATAGAACTATAAAGGACTCCGGACATTTTAATCAAACGGCGTGAACAAATTATACGAAACTTTCTTTTGACGCCGTAGCGCTACTTCATTCCTTCAATCCGTGGGATGACTCTACGCGAAGAACAAATGATCAATGGCTACGCAGCAAAGCTTGAGCCCGAAGACGCTCAGATCGACGGAGGGGAGGAGTAGTAGGTTTTGGAAGGTCAATTGAACCCCAGGAGGCACAATTTCCACGTACACCACAGGCGTAAAGTCTCTCTATCGAGATTACAGTCAGTACTTGCGAGAGAACACTGGCACACTTGTAGGATGCCTACGCTCATTCAATGGAGACTTGTTTCTGTGCAACCGCAGCTCACCACGACCCTCAAAGACCGATAACTTAATAGGGCTGAGGGTCTTGACAACCTGCTCTTTGACGTCTGCAATAACAACATAATATTTTTGACTATTGTCGGGTTTGAGTCGATTACTGAAGGATTCCTTTACAAAGGATAACACTTTACCGCAGGCATTTGCTGCCCAAACGATGATACCTTCAGGCCCGCCTCGATTCACCTCGTCGCAGGAAGACAAGCTCAGACAATCAGTAGGGGTGACTATCGCGATAACTTGCAGTCTCTCATAATTCACTCGGTGAACTATCCGGCATATAGCGATCAAAACAACATTTCGATAAGCTAGTGGAAGAGGGCGGACCACCATCGCGCCGATGTCAAAGTTTTGCCTAGGCGGATACATGCTTTCATTGTCGATGTGATTTAAAGACTAACTCGTTCTCAAATGGGAGCGGTCACTCCATTTTCTCCAAGGTAGAGGCATGATTCCCGAAGTGTAAATCGAAATTGATACAAAGTTTCAAAGGCCATGGGTTACAGTGTTAGTCCTGCGATATTATGATTCACCCATAGAAAAGCTTTCTATATACAGCATATCAGCATAGCATAGAATATCGAACCAATTTGTACGATGACCACCATAGTGCATATAAGCCTTATATGCCCTAATAAATTGATAAGGTGGGTTGGGGTCGCGATTGTATTCGTCTGTGAGTCTGTGAGAGGTGAATTGAAACTAAATAATAAATTTACTCAGAATTCTTGAGGGCACTTTAGTCCATTTTAGTTTAGTAGTCCCGAATCTCCACTGGGCCCCACTAATCACCGCCAATAAGGCCGAGTGACGTCACTGCTCTGATATTCTAACGTGCTTTAGAGATGGGCTGGGTAGGAAAGTGAAGCTCAAATTAGCATCGCTCTGAATAAACAGCTTATCCTAACTGTCTGTGCCTCGTAGCAGTTTTTGGTGTCAAAATGGGGCTCGGGAGACCGCAGGAAAAGGATACATGGTGTCAATCCCAATGGGTTGCTACTCGTACCAAAACAAGAGTGAACATCACATCAATTGTTTTGTAGATGATGCAACACTTTTATATGGCGAAAATCAGTCATTTATGTTGTCATTAGGCACCAGGATATTCAACATCCGTGGACCTCCGTTATACTGTAAGTTCATGGGTATTTTAACCCCCATGAGCGCCCTCATTTTATGTTCTTCAATCAATCAAGTCTTTCAATTCAATCAATCTCCCCTTTTGATTCCGTTGTTCTAATTGGCCAATTTCCAAGTACTCCGTAGCTGTCACATTGTTGATACATGGAAACCATGAACCCGCGGATGTTTATTGGAAGCCTCCATCAACACCAGTCTCGGAGACAATCTACTCGCTCCCCGGAGGGTATTTGGCTGCGCTTGGGAACTGTACTCGAGGTTCAAGGAGCTAAAATGCTTCTTGAGTCGTCTTACGCGTTCTTGGAGCTGCTAGAGCTAGCGCCGTGTAAGCTCATGTACTCCGTATACTGCATCCTTAACATCAATCTCAGGTACACTCCAGGCGATCCTAGAAGTACTTCAATCACCCGGAGATCCGCATTTGACCTCTAAGAATGGCTTGAGGTTCCAGGAGCAGTAGAGTTACCGGGGCTGCCCAACACGTGGCTGTGAAAGAAAGGAGTGAACATGAACATGAAGCAGCCCAAAGGTTTCTTCATCCATATTTTGAGGGAATTCTATTCCCAGGATCGACGGAAGTGATTGATTGATTGATTGATTGATTGATTTATTCATAGACTGTCCCAGCCGCCCTATTTTAGCAGCTATGTAGCGTGCGACTATAAGTACAGGTGTCCCCGCCCTCGCTTTCAGAAAATAAGCCGTTCTTTGCCAGAATGCCTTCTCCGTCCGCACCAGTAAGTTACATCCCCTCCTCGTAGTATTGGTGAACGTTCTGTATCTATGTACCCGTCGGGCCTTTCCTGGCCCTCCTCTGCTTCTATATACCAAAAATCACTCGTCTTCGCTATGTGTATTTGAGTACCGTGGACGGTACTGCCTGGAATTGTCCTAGCAGTCCCGTCCTCAAGATCATCTTGGCTGCTTGTACTGCCATTGGCGGGTTACAGAGAATGCGCTTGATGTCAATGCATGGAGACTTGCCTGCCCACATTCGTTGTCGTTCTTCCACCCAGTTCCGGCAGTCGAGCAGGATGTGTCGTACCGTCTGTGGTCCACGGCCACATTAACATTGATCTGTATCGGCCTTGTTGATGGCGTGAAGGTAGGCCCGTAGGCCGATCTTACCCGTACGCATCTGTGTGATTGCTAAGCTGATTGCTCTATGTACCCCGGCGTGTGTATCGAGGATCGCTTTCCCCGGTCGCACTCCCAGCCTAAGGAGCTCTCTGCCGTGTTTGCATTTCTCCCACGCCTGGTCCCATTCGTTTCTCATAGCTCGGCGGATGGTAGACTTGGTAGTTGCTGTGAGTGTTCGCAGGGAGTCCGGTTCTAGTAGCGGTTCGGCGTTCGCCCTTGCGTTCGGATCAACCCCGGCAGCCTCTTTCGCAGCTTGATCAGCAGCCTCGTTACCAGACACTCTGATATAAGCCGGGATCCATCGAAACTGCACTTCCCAACCTTGGCTCCGGGCCTCGTCAAGCGCTCGTACCGCCTCGACCAGAGTGTACTAGCCAGACGGGTGCCTAGGGTTCCGGATAGCTTGGATGGCCGCTTGGTTGTCGGTGAATATAACGGCGCGCTTATTTAGAGGATCGTATGCTGGTGGTGTGTCGAGTATTATCTGCAGTGCTAGGGCTAATCCCTTAAGCTCTGCCGCATATACCGTTAAAGTGCATGATTTGCCCATATACTAAGTCCGCTTCGCATAGATTCCGTTAGTCGGTGTAGGTATCACCGCAACCGCTCCGACATAGCCGTTGATGCTACTTCCGTCAGTGTAGATGCGTAATATTCCTAGTGCCGTGGCGTCGTGCTCCTTGACTGCTTCCTCCGCAGATTCGTTGATACGGACGGATAGTAGGATCCACCAGGGTAGCACTACGTGCGGTATACGTTTCTCCAGCCGTTCAAGCCGCAAGCCGTGTTTACTCTCTAAAGTGCTCGAGAAACGATCGAGGGGGCTCTGTTCGCTGCGTCCTTAGGCGGGCGTTCTAGTCTCACCCCTCCCGGTCTCGGTTGTGGCCATGTCATCGTGTAACGGTGTCGTTCTAATGCGCATCGTGGCCTCCAGGGCAGTTTGCTCCAGTTGCTGTTGCACCGGGAGTAAATAAGATTCGACGTCCACTGCTGCCCCGGCCGTTGTCCGAAACGCCCCTGTGATGATCTAAGCTGCACGTCTTTGGATCCTCTAGATCGTACTCGTCATAGCGTATCCCCTACTTGTGTGGCTGTTTCCAGGGATGTGCCATGCCGAACAGCCATAAAGCATTTAGGGCACAACCATTACGCGGTACACATGTCGGAGATTGATGGCCCCTGTGCCCCATATTAAGGAGGCGAGTGCTGACAGAGCCGACAGTCGCTTCGTTGCCCCAGCCTCTACTTTCTCGCAGTGGTAGTCCCAGCGAAGCTTAGTGTCCATCTAGATTCCTAGATAGCGACATGATGCGGAGGCCTTAATAGTGGCGTGCGGCAGGCGGAGAGTATGTGTGCTGTTCTTTTTAGGATCCCGAGTAAAGTGGACCAGCTCGTATTTTGCCGGCGCAAATTGGGAACCGTGTTTAACTGCCCATTGTTTGGCTTTCCGGTGAATCCTTTTCAAGGTCTTGCAGTTCCGTTGTGCCGTCGGCCCTACTACTAGCGTAGATACGTCGTCAATGTACCCGACCGCCTCCGTATCCTATGTCTTGCATGCCTCAATCAGGTCTGCATTGTAGAACAGGTAGAGGATTAGCGAAACCGGCGATCCTTGGGGGATGCCAGTCTGGATCGGCGTCGACGGGGTCGTGAATTCCAGCAGCTTAAGAGTCGTAGTACGGTCGCCGAGGAAGGACGCAATCCAGGCTATGATCCTCCGATCAATCCCGCGTTTTCGAAGGTTATATAGGAGCCGTTCGGGCGAAACGTTGTCGTATGCCCCGGATACGTCGAGTAGCGGCAGAGTGGCCACCTTACCCTCAGACCACGCTTGATGTATCCGTTGGAGTAGAAGGTGCATAGCATGCTCCGTCGATGTGAGTTTACGGCCCCCCGCATGTCGGCTTGGAAGAAGATGGTGCATATCTGCTAAATAGGAAAGTCAGTTTGCAATGATGGTTTCCATCACCTTTCCTAAGGTATTCAGCAGTGCAATTGGTCTATATGCCTTCGGTTGCGTGTAGTCGTTTTTCCCCGGTTTCCGGAGCACTACTGTGATGGTGTCCTTAAAGTGCGTAGGGCAGTAGCCATGTTGAAGACATGCATTAAAGAGCGTATGAAGGCTCGGCAGAAGGATATCAAGCGTCTAGTGCAAGATACCGTTGATGATTCCGTCGGGGCCGGGAGCTTTGTTTGGAGACGACCGGCGCACTGCTTTCTGGATCTCCGGGATAGTGATGTCCGGGCATTTGATTAGTGGCGGATACGCGTATCCATCAATATCTGAAAGATCAGCTTAGAGCGGGGGCGGGAAGAATGTCTGGCGCAGTGTCTCGGCCTTTTCTTCTGGCCCATAGGCAATTCCTCCATCCTGTTTCACCAGCGGTGGCGTGCAGGCCGCCGATGCGTTGTGTCTGTTCTTGGCCCATTTAATCAGGTTCCAGAGGCCAGATAGTGACGCTGATGCCTCCTCCACTCTTTGACGATGGTTGTTTCGAAGAGTCTTCTAGATGAGTCGGCCCTTCCTATTACGTGCTTGTCGGTAGGCCTCGTAGTCACCGTCCTGTCTTTTACGTTGCCACCTTCGCCGGAGTTGTTGAACTTCTGTGCAGAGGTGTCTGCACTCTTGGTTAAATCCCGGGATTGAGCGTGGGGATTGGTTAGACCACAGGGTAGACGCCTCAATACCAGCATTTAGGGCCTAAACGATGGTCGAGACGAACCCGTCGATGCTCTCCCTGTCCCTTAATTCCGTGACATCATTCGTCCTGGAGAGGTGATTCGAAGTTACTTATCGCAGGGTTGTTAGGTTCGTCTTTGACCAAAGCCGCTTTCTCTTTAGTTCCGCAGGTTGCAGGTTCCATTCGACAACTAGGGCAATCGGGAGGTGGTCGGAGTCACAATCGAGGGTTTTATCGATCTTGCAATGTGTAACGCTGGCTGCTACGTCTTCGGAAGCAAAGGTTAGGTCGATTGTAGATTCTCCATCCTTCCATCGGTGAGTTGGAGTTCCGGGCATAGTAAGGAGCTGTAGCTAAGAGTCCTCAATAATTCTAAGTAGGTATTCGGGGTTAGGCCCACTGCGAGCCCGACGATAGTCTGTTGACCAGAGCGGGTAGTGTAGGTTGAAATCGCCAAGAACGACGATTCTGTCTGAGCTAAGTGTCCTAATAGCTTCGGCTAACGTCGTGAGCGTGTCGGAGGTCACTTCGTTATAGACGTTGAAGATATAGACGCTTTAGTTAAGACGAGAGTCGGAGATTTTGAGGAAGATTATATCATTAGAGATAAATAAGACGTTCCAGGCACCTGGGTCAACACGTTTGTTGACATAGACGCAGACCCTTGTCGCCGCATAAGGGAAGTACGTTAGCTAGAAGTGTGCTTTAAGAGGGTGGTAGGATGTGGCGATGAATGGGTTACGCCAGGGTTCTTGGATTGCCAAGACGTCATATTCCAGAACCCTAGGGTTTTGGAATAGGCTGGCGAGAACCACATCCCTCGACTTTTGGACATTGTACTGTAAGATTTGCAGCTCTTGATGCCCTAGCATTAGGGAGAAGCTGTGTTCATCGCGGTCTATATATGATCGGGTCCGGGTTCTTCGAGCTTGTGATAGAGTGATAGGTGGTTCTGTCCGACGTCGGTGTGACCAACTAGGGGTCAGGGAGCTTCCACTTCCTCGCGTCTCCATCCGCACTACTAGATTTTGTTTAGTATATCTTGACTAGCGTAGGTGTTTGCGGAGCTCTGCAGCAGTTGTGAAGTCCTTGCCACAGTATGTGCAGACCTTCATGCATTAAGCGATCGTTAGATCGGCGTTCCGTTTTGGCCAGTCTGTGTAGATCTCCTAATGCTCAGGGCATTTACATCCTTTGTATATTCTTCCCCCGGCCGTGCGGGGGTCCGTAACCATAGATGTCTGTGGAGATAGGTCGTCATCTGGGGGTCCGTAAAGCCATACATCGCCGATTTCGTTCGCGATGCCGTTTAGCCAGTCATCTGCTCCTCGCATTTCCGATTCTTCGGTGGTGTCGACGGGGTGTGAGGGTGCTAGGAGGTCGTTTATCGGGTCCGACTGCCAGACTAGGTCCTGCAGCACCGCAGGCGTTGCCCACCCCTCTTCGTCCGTCAAGGCGATAGGCGTTGGCACAGCGCTTAGTTCATTTGATGCCCCGGTTTTCATGGGTTCCTGTGCCCGTGTCGCCTCTGGCCATTAGTCACCAGAAGACCCGGTGGCATCTTGCGGCGTTCCAGGGTCGGGGCTTTCGAGGGCGTTCGTTTCTGCTAGTGTGGCGTTTTCCGGTCCTTAGGCCGCCCTTAGGGCAGGAATAGGTCTCGACTGTGCCTGTGTTTCGTGGCTCATATAGGTAGTAGGCGGTTCCGGCTGAACGGTGCTTTCCTTTGGAGGGACGTGCCAGTAAACGCTACGGATTTCTTTGGCTCGTTCCATTCTTTACATCTCCTTCCTCCTAGCTGGATAGGCGTTACTCTATGCAGTGTGAGCACCTTTGCATACTACACAGTAAGGTGTGAAACTCCACTCCCTTCTGCTAACAATGTTTCGTCTCATGTAGCCCTGCACAATAGCCGCAAACTTATAATGCGTTACATTGAGTGCCGATGTGACCGTAATTGTAGCACCGGAAGCATTGCTTTATTCTGCAGGTACGGTCGTAGAGCTAGCATTGATGAATCTGGCCTTCCCATGCCATTCCGGCATAGATGACGGCATTGGCCTTTTCTGGGTCTTTGAACTCCACAACAATCGAGGATGCATGCTTGAGAGTGGCCTCTTTAGTCAGCCATCCTACGTATGAAATCTCCGCGTTTGGGACCACTATGTAATTGTCTACGAGCACCTGTTGAATTGTTGCGTCTTAGTCTTTGATGTTGATAGAATTGGTCGGGATTCCATGGGCAATAACGCCGTAGGTAGGAAGGACAAGCTCTGCACGTTGCCCAAGGCCCTTAATCCAGCCTTTGTCTTGTTTGAGCTGCGCAGCCTCGGCTGTTGTGCTTGTGAATATTTATATATCACCACTTTTGAGTTGGTGTGCCGCGACTACTTTGACCTGTTTGGTCGCAGCGTTGCCACGAATTGAGGTTTCCACTTGTTGTTTGGCCCATGCCGCAGAGTGCGCGCGGTATCGTTGGGCAATACCTTGGTCTTTCAGCTTCACTGTTATGACTCGGTCCTTATATGCTGTAACCGTAGATTGGGTCTTGGTGGTATGCAATCCCTGTGGTGCAGGAGGGGGAGAGCTGGTGCGCCTTTAGCAAGCGCCGCCACCTGCGCCCAGGTCGCAGTGGCAGTTCTTCTTCCTCCGCTAAAGTTGCCTTGGTTTATCGGTGGAGGGGTGGTTCATGTTCCCGGAGACAGATTCTACAATCCTAGGCCACCCAGCCCGCAATCCTGAGAGCTTCAAACCCCTTCCTGAGAGTAACCGTGCCTATACTGGGACCACAATTTTTGTGTGAGTCTAATAAGCTTTAGTTTTGCAGGTAACCGGAGACTGTTCGCATTAGATTAGTTCTAGGGTAATCAATGAATCAATCAATCGCTTTCCGCTTATCCTGGGATGACTAGTGGCTGCTATGGGAACGCAACAGCGATCTCCGAGTCGCGACCAGAACTAGATTCCCTGTGAACGCTCACAGCAACCACTAAGTCTACCATCCTTCGAGTGATGAGAAACGAGTGGGACATGGCTTGGGAGAAAGGCAAGCATGGCAGAGAGCTCTTTGGGCTTGGAGTGTGACCGGGGAAAGCGATCCTCGAGACACACGTCGGGGCACACAGAGCAATTGGTTCAATAATGACACAGAGGCGCACGGGCAAGATTGGCCGGCGCGCCTACCTCCACGCCATCAACAAGGCGGACACCGGCGAATGTCAATGTGCCAATAGACCGCAGAGGGTACGACACATCTTGCTCGAATGCAGGAACTGGGTGGAAGAACGACATCGAATGTGGGCAGGCAAGTCTCCATTCATTGACATCAAGCGCATTCTCTGTAACCCGCCAATGGCAGTACAAGCGGCCAAGATGATCTTGAGGACTGGACTGCTAGGACAGTTCCAAGCAGTACCGTCCACGGTATTCAAATACACATAGTGAAGACGAGTGATTTTTGGCAAATAGGAGAGGAGGGTCATGAAAAAAGCCCGACAGGTACATAGAAACAGAACGATCTACAAGACTACAGGTTGGGACAGCGATTGGGCTTTACTGTTTTGGGGGGGAAGAAAGGAACAGCAGATGAAACATAGTTTTGGTGAAAGTTGTTAAATGTCATTGGTTGGCTGCTACTCCCTTCTCCACCTTGGAGTAGCCAAGTTCTCGCCACCAAGTACCTCGGGAAATTTGCCCTTCAGTGCCAACCCAGCTCCCCGAAATGTACTCCGTATGGAGTCAGCGATCTATTGCTGATCAAATTGCTAATAAAGCCCAATGAGAAGCATTATGCCGGGCCTTTTATTAGCCACTACTGACTGAGCTTGCTCGACCACCTTATCTCTATCGTGTGTTTTACGTCCGGCTTGGAAATGCATGGATTAAAGTTTCACACTGTCATATGAAAGAAACACTCGGCAATCATAAGGCTAAAAATATACCCGAAATTTCAAAGGCAGCAGCTTTGTAGGCCCTGATTAGGGTGTACTTCTCCAGTACTTCGCACACCGATTCACAATTGCTCTAAAAAATCTTCACCATTCGGGCGAGAGGTCCCTTGTGCAATGGATGCTCTCCTCGATCCCTTGAATGCTGTTCGATTGATCTTGGGATTGGGAGTCTGTGGATATCTCTCTTGCTCCGCGGCTAAACACTGCTTTTGCGTTCCCATGAGCTGGATAGCAAAGGTCTGAGGATATCGCTTATCATTGTTCACCCAAGAGATGCGTGGGAAAATAGTGAGAAAGTTGCCGCCTTGGTGGCTGTCAACCACTTCGTTCTGATCCTCATTGTCGCCTGGAAATTGAAACTGAGACCAATCATCATCGTCCCACTTGAGGGGTTCAAAATCCGTCTCGTACTTCTTGCTAGCAGACTGGATGGGACGCCAAGTCTCAATGGCCCGCTTCACAACATTTTCTATTCTCTGTCGCAACTCGCCGAATTGGGATTCTGAGAGCACATCGAATAAATAGTTTGACACGTTGCGCGCCACATATTGAACCGTGGACTGGATAGATACCTGTTGGGCGCTTTGATCGATGGAAAGTAACATAGATCGACAAAATGACTCTTTCTCGCGGTCAACGGTAGCGAGCTTACATAAAACTGCCCTTATCTCCGTGTCTGAGAAAAGATAATTTGGCTGGAAAATGTTCGTGTCAATTTCTCGGGCGAGAATGGCTAGTATCACAGCGAGTCGCATTCCTTTGGCAGCAGGAGAATTAGAAGCAAGTAAGGGGATATGATGCCGGACCGCAAGTTCGCTATCCCTTTGGAATTTGTCCCAAGCCATTTTATTCTACGAGGTTTTAGTCATCATATGTGTGATTCGGTAAGATAGCACTTACACTGAGAGCTTCGGCACTGAGGTTTTGGTTCAAGATCGCAGCAAGCTCAGAAGTGGCATGATCCCAAAGGTTCGAAAATTCCCACATCCTAATACGTAAATGTCAAATATGCTATCATAACAGTCAAGCGTCAACATACATTTTATATTCGTCGGCTTCGGCACCGCGTACGGCGAAACTCTCCAGCTTCCTAAGCTGTGTTAAAGTCTTTTGCCCTTCTTCGTGAAATACGTTTCTCTCTTTCTCAAGTTCTGCGTTCTTCTTCTGCTCTTCCGATAGTAGCATCTTCAAATTAGAGCCAGCATCCTTCATTTTGTCGATCATCTTGTCTTTCGCTTTGAGAACTTCCTGAAGAGAAGTAATATCGCGAGACAATTGAGCTGCCTTTTCAATTTCTCGGAAATGGCCCGCCTGTAGATTCTTCAGCTCGCTTTTGAGTCTGCTTATCTGTTCAGCACGCTCATTGAGATCATTATCCTTAACCCCAAGGGACTCGAGGTGCAACCCATTCTCCTCTTCTCGACCTCTTAACTTGTCCATGAGCTCTTCATTCGCGGTAAACATCACTTCGACTGCATCTTGTGTTTTACCTTTCAAGACCTTGAGATTTTGACCTTTGACTAGCTCTGCTTCCTTGGCATTTATTTCTCCCTGCCGATGAGTAATTTCATCGAAAATTCTGGCCGTGCTCTGTAGCCCAAGTCTAGATGCGGGTTGGATTATTTGGTTTTTCTGCTCCTCTTCAAGCTTCTCAAGACCACTCAACACCCTATCATTTGCGCTTTTGGGTTTATGTGGGCTCTGAACCTCAAGCATAATCTTGAATAAAACCGAATCAATATCTGTGCAAGCTCACTTGCCACCCATCCGTTACTCAGCCTTTCCTTGATAGCCCATCGCCATGAATCGGCATACGCATAATTCCAATCTTCCAGGAATCCCTCGGCTTCGCGAAGAGTATCAAGCCGCTTGTAACACGGGAACGAGCAATCTTCGATCTCTGCTTTTGCCTCGCTGGACATAATCAGTACATATCTTCTAATTTGAGAATATACATACTGTCAAGTGTTGTAAATTCCCGTCTTTCTACCAAATGCAACAGCATAGTATGCTTGGCGAGACCCCTGCTTATCAATATCTTCACCTTCATGTTTGAGAAGTTCATCGAAGTCGATAACGCCCTGCAACTTCATTGAACGCCGAGCACCTTCCAGTGTATTTGCTTGGAAAAATTTTCTGCCAACAAAATCTGCCACGCGAGGGTGAACGTGAGCCCTAAAAACCCGGAAATCGTTAGTCCAAGTTTGGTTGCCCCGAGTGAGCGGCTTACCAAGTAGAGAATATAGTAGGCTTGTCTACCCGGCCTGCCAACACAACGTAAAAGCTATGACTTTTGTCTTTTGGTGAATGATTGTTTTCCAAGTCAAGCTCCAGCGATATATTGCTAGACTCCACCGAAGCGACGTCCATGCTTGTGTGATATTTGGTCGTTTTCGGTATGGCGTATGATAGTCTATTGAGACACGTCATAGTATCCACGAAGCATTTGTAGATATGCGTCATTTCTTTTCCGCCATCCAGACCGGGGAGGACATGCGCAACCTTGAAGGTGGTTTGTAATGTTCTCACTCCGTTTTCCTCCTCTGTCAGCACATCTTCGAGGTATCTGAGCAGCTCTTGTAGCCTTCTTAATAGTCGCATGATCTGGGAATGCAACTGAGGTTTGAGACGTTGGTCCATAGGAAACGAGTCAACTGGTTGTATTCCCACGTTCTTCGACCAAATATGAAACCGGTGGAATTCATCCCTCCATTTTTCCTTTGAATTTTCTTTCTCGTAGGCTAGGAAAGCTTCCGTAGATGAAATTTCGTCAAATTTGACGAGGATTCCCCGTGCCAGGTCAGAGGTGGTTTCCATAGTTTGTGCGTTCCGGAGTATTGAGTAGGACTGATGCTTCTGAAGAAGGGTAGGTTTCATCCAACTACCCCTCTTCAAGCATGGCTGGACACGTGGACAGCCGACGAGCGGGGTCAACGAAAAGCATCCCTTCCTGCTCATCAAGAGCGGATCTTTCTTTTTTACCAGAACGACTGAATCGTCATTTTATTCATATCCAACCATGATGACAGGCATTGAAGTCGTGGGACTGACTCTGGCCAAATTTCCCCTCCTCGTGAACCAGATTGATGCATATGCTCGCAGCATCGAGAGGATTAGGCTATGAGGCGCTGGAGCAGTGAATTCAAGCAATATCCCATAAAACTCGGATCTCAACACGCGATATTTCTGAATACCTTGGAAGATGTCCTCAAAGATGTGGTAGACAAAAGAGAAGAGGTGACTCATTTAATATCCAGTCCGCAGGTCGATCGTTGGCAGAGCCGGATATTGCAAGAGAGACTTTGCACCAAACTAGGACGAAGTTTCAAACCATTCCTGGGAATGATGAACAGAATTTCGGAGTTGCTAGGCAGGGCTTCTAGTCGCATAAGTATTGAGTGCACTGATGACTTGATTGCGAAAGTAAGGTGCGATTGTGTCAGTTATGTTGCAATAAAGCTGACAAGCCGACAGCAATCCAGTATGTCATGTTATCGAATTATAAAGTCCATATTCTCAGTACCAATCTACGAGGATATTCTGCGAGAACTCGATGATGCAAACTCAATACTTAAAGCCCTAATTGCGCCCCGCAGTTACCAAATCGAGACACAAAGTTCACAACTCCCATCCTATCTCTTTCAGAAAAGCAGAACAATGCGGCAGCATTTCAATGCTCTTTTCAAGCAAGTTGCCAGTGGAGAAGGTGGAAATGTGCTTGTAAAGGTCACCACAGTGCTCATCTGCAACTGGAACTGAACTCTCTTAAGGAGAATAAAATTCACCGTCTGTCGAAAGATGAATAAAAAGCCCAGATTGTTTTCTTGAGTTCGACTACTGAACATTCAGCCGGAAACTTCAAATGGAGTGAAGTGAGGTGCGAGCTCCGGCATCTTGAAGGTAAACCGCAAGGTTCACCAATCGATGACTTTTGTTCCTTCCTTTCGATTACAAGAAGCTCTGATGAGGATCAGACAATAATCGACCACTTGGACTCTGATTCTAATCCTGATTTTCATTATACTGTGCTACCGGTCAATTGTCATCACAAAATGTCAACACGCAGATCATTGAAGCAGATCCCTTTGCATCTTAGCAGGTATGAGAGGCTACGCATTGCCTCTGGACTAGCGTGTGCGTTCATCCAGCTCTCTGGTAACTGGCTGAGGCGCAAATGGGATAGCTCTGATATTAGCCTAATCTTTGATACCGAAGAGAAGCAAATTTTGCTGGATTTTCTTATCTTTTCTTCACCTGTGTCAAACTCGCTGGCCTCAGATGAATTGCCCATTACGATGCGAGTCTCCGATGCACGAAGGAGTAATTTAGTCCCACTTGGATTCATCTTGGCAGAACTTTCGCTTGGAGAATCTTTACGGGAATCTTGCAAGTTTGAAATGGAAGAAGAAATCGTGGATCTCCAGGCCGCGCACAAAGTCATAGACATGGTGTCTGGCGAGAGCGGTTGCAATTATGCAAGGACAGTTGAATACTGTATTCTCACAGCTCACCAGCGTATGGCAGTGAGTGAGGAAGCATTTCAGAGACATGTATTTGACGCAGTCGTATCGCCGTTGTTGGATGATTTGGCACATTTCGAAGGTCTTTCTGTATGAGCCAGAGCGATTTCACTGTCCATGGGGTCATAGGATCTCAATAGTCGTGCGAACTACAACCTGACCTCCAATACATCTCCAATGTACTCGATAGCCTGTTCCAAAGAAGATTCTTCTTAACAATCAAGTGGCTTTTGTGAAATGTTTTTAACCCAGAGACTACGGAGTACTGTGTAAGGAGTGATGGCACTCCAAAGTGGAGCTGGGAGTAGAAATAGGCCAATCAGGTCTTTTCAACAGGTAACAAGCAAAAGCCCACGCGAAGCTCTTTACATACACACCCCAACCGTTCCACCATACGAACCTTAACCATGGACCTGGTTTCCTCCCCCACCAGGTCACTTACTTGACTCCCACGCCGCTGCTAACGCAATTGAAGCCGGGAGCAATGTCTAGTTCACTAAGATCGCGTTCCAGGAGCTTGTTTGTGCCTGCTTGGGGTATAATGCACTCTCGATAGAGCGGTTCCTGTTGGAACGTAAAGGAGGCTTGAAATTTTTCTCTTATTTCGGAGGGGATACAAGACGCTATACACACACACACACAATTTATTAACGCCCGGCGGCTGAACCGAAAGGGCAACTATCACTGATCTAAATATACATGCCGTAGTTAATACTGCGCCTCCTTGCAGCCCATACAAGCTTCTTTCAGTGTATTTCATCTCAGATGTTAGTATCTTAGCGGGTCCTTGTGGGTTAGTGTTTGTTAATGGTGAGGCCTGCTATACTGCCTGGACTACGCCCTCACCACCTGGGACCACCAACTTCAGTAGTCCAGTTTAGCTTCCTTCTTCCTCCTCTCCTAGTCAACGTCGAGTGTTTTTCACCTTCCAGGGTTTTCCTTCGTAAGATCCTACAGTCAAATACAGTCTGCATACGTCAGAGAATGTAATCATGTCTAACGTCATTCGTAATTCAGATAGAGCAATGCTGCAAATTCCAGCCAAATAGGTTGGGCTTAGGACAGACATAGCTCACTGACTTTAGGCGTAAAATCGTAGAAGGACTGAGTATGATCAAAATTGGAGAACAGAGCAAAAGTGTTGTGTGAGTGAGGTCACAGGTGGCGAGCATCTCCAGTGGACCAAGTTGATGGAGTGTACCTACGCCGCTACGTTTAATCCCATACTCTACTGTTTTGAGTAGTTACCCACCGAGCCAGCCCTCAAATTACATTTGGTCTTTCTTAAACGTACAAAAAGCGAATAAGGAAAAAACCAGTAGTAGCTATTAGATCTAACATTCTGGCGTTTCAGCCTCGGAACTCACTATCTTCGGTCTCTGCCAACTTGTGGTGGGAACTGCAAGACAGGACGAGGGCCCTTGTGTTGTCGGGCCCGGAAAAGGTGTCATTAACTTCTGCGCAGCCCCTTCAAGGTCTCCGACGTTAAAGGTGTGACAATAGGTACTTGCATCCAATTAAAATCTTTAGATGCTAGTGTACCTTGAGCGTTGATAATACCGTATGTTACATAACAGAATGCATAGAGTGATCCTTCAATATTGCAGGAAAGAGATGCTGTTCTGTAGTACCGATGTCAGGCCGTACCTGAACAATTATCGACAACGGCTCATCACTTACCGCCCGTGGCTGTCGACGTTTGCTACTTGAACGGAGCTAATAGCACTTATTACAGTTAGTCCGTTTCCCGGTATGCCGCAAGAATCCGGTTTGACACGTGAAGGGCAGGTAACAAGGAATGTCTTTGACTCATAGTTCTAGACATCGTGAGCTAAAGGAAGGAAAGACCTCGCTTCTGATGCATACTCACCTCACGGTTGACTCTGCTTGGAGAATATGGCCTCGGAACCCAGGCAATAGTAAATTGACAATATCGGTCGGGAATGAGAAGATGGCCGAACGTAGGAGATAGAGAAAAACGAAAATCAGCGATGAAAACAGTAAGATAGTCAATGGGTTTTTATGAGCTTCGGAAGAGAAAGGAAGCATTAGGGATACAATAATATTGATCATATGGATTACTCAGATTATTGGCTAGGCCACGATATGGAATACCTGCATTACCTAGCAAAGCCTTACGGAGCGCTAATTCGGTATTGCCACCACTGCCCTCGCATCATGATCCAAAGCATCCTGGTGATGAGATACAGCTACGGCGGTTGCAGTCACCTGATGCGAGAGAGGGACGACCTGTGGGATTGCCATGGAGGAGAGGTCCTAACTAGGCTATGGACTGCGGTGGGTGACTGAACGACACCCTACAAACACTATGTAAGTCAATATCTCCCATCGTTACAGCCCATCCACAGTAGTCTTCGGGCTAGAGCAATTTCTATAAGCGAGGTTAGTGTTAGAGCTCTCATCTGTCCGTACATGTAGTGCTCGATCTCGCCATCTCTTTCCATCTCCTCTTTTCCGTCTGCTTGCACTGTATCTTCTCTTCTGGAATTTAAGAAGCGGCCACCGCAGACGACACCGATAATCGTAGTATCGGCTTGCCAAGGACCGCTCAGGCCTACAGGATATCTCGTTGGCCCGTAAAGCGGCTGAGGGGCTCTCGTGTCATGCAAGAGAACCAGCGTATTTTTTGATATATGGCGCTCCCTTCGAACTAGATACGCAAGAGCCGATTCGCGCTTCGTCTAGTGAAGAGTAGGGACATAGATGTTACAGGTTGGGGTTTGAATCACCGTGCATAATAATAACCAAGAGAGGACGAAGGATATTCAGATGTAATGCCCATGCTTTGTACTATAGCCCTCAAAAAGATAACAGCCCCAGAAATACGTTTTCTGGGATCCTCGGGAATTACGCACCGCCCGCGAACATGACCCAACCCATGAGAAGTATGTTACAGCGGTAAAGAGAATCGTGCTCTCCGAACTTTGTCCACTCGCTAACGTCAAAATTATGATATTTGAAAGTTTTGGTTCTATGGGCTTTGTGAAACAGAAAGATTCTCAACCATACACGGCACTCTCTGGCCCTCACTATATTCGAACAGGCACAACATGCGCTTCGTGGTCAAAGATGCCTTTTCGGGTTGTCGATGGTCCCGCCATCCTCACCAAGACAGCGCAAGTCAGCAAATACAACATGAACGACAGTTTCACAAGCAGCAACGCAAGATTGTCTCCAGCGTGCGATACAAAAAATGCGGGACCAAATTCACGAAGCCTCACCCAAATATGTCATATGTCACCTGTGCTCCCAATGTATTACGTATCTTTGGGCAGCCCTCCATTAGGCGGTCGCTTTGTACCAGAACTGATTTTTGGGTTCTTGGAAAAGATCACGACAGCTTTTGAGAGCGCAATTGGTGACATTGTGTTCTGGAAAGAAATCAACGAACTGTTACGATCAATCTCTCCCCATAGTTCCGCGGTATATCAAGCTAAAAAAATCACGGATCACATAGGTAGGGCCACACTGTGGATGAAGCGTGAAGACCTGGAGCATTTTGATTCCCACAAAGCCCGGAATATTATCGGGCAGCTCTCTCTCGCCACGAGAATGGGCTGTAAGGAAGTCGTGACGGACTGTGCCTCGACTAAACATAGGAAATTCACCGCGGTGATGTGCCCGCATCTCAATTTGTAGTGCGTTGTGATCATGGGTACCGATGACGCTGCAAAACAGAAAAATGGCGTTCATAAAACAGAAAAGCTCGGCGCTACAGTCCTGAGGGCGCGATGTCTATATGGTGCTGCCACGCTACGCACTGCGATCGCCAGGCCTTTTCGGTATGCGGCTCTGTACCATGATACGGCGTACTACTTGATTGGGGGCGGGGCTCTTCAGGCCCCTATCCTATTCCTGGAATGACGGCGACTTTCCAACAGCGTCTTGGTGCAGAGGTTACGAAACAATTCCAAGCCAAGTCAAAAAATCAGCCAGATGCACTGGTGGCCGCGATTAGTACTGGTACTGGTGTTGTCGGCCTCTTTCGACCGTTCATCGACAGCGCAGGAGTAAGACTGGTCGGGGTCGAAAATGCGGGAGCATCATCACTGACCAACGGCCAAGTGGGTGTCCTTCGTGGTACAAAAACGCTGGCGCTACAGAATGACGGCCAAGTTCTCGACTCTCATTGCATTTCCCCCGATCTAAACATTTCTGTGTCGGTCCAGAAGTCGCCCACTGGAAAATCAGTGGTCGAGTCGAGATATACACCGTAACAAACGAAGATGCGCGCAGAGGATTGGGTATCTTATCTGGGTATGAGAACGTCAAAGCCGGCTTAAATTGCAGTCATGCAGTAATCAAGGCGATGGAGATAGCCAAAGAATTGGGCCCGGGGAAGCATGTCATTCTTTTGGTTACCGGTGATGATGTAATTGACACATAGACTAACGTAGTTCCCGGCCGTTCCGTACACCAACTTCCATCACGAAATTTCAAAATCAATCATCTCAACCAACACCCTTTGATTCAACTAGATCTTGCGATTATTACATACATTGATCCTGTGGCCAATCTCCCTACACCCACTACACCTAGGCGGAGCCCTGGTGGTTGGCTGATCTGGCTGATTAGGCGTTTCGCCCTGCGTATGCGATAATACCTCAGCTACCTCAACTGGCTGATTTGCCTGCTGAGCTAGTTGTAGGCCCTCTTGAACGGTTAGACCTTGATCGCAGGGTATCTGCCTAGTTGATCGTTTGCGCGTCTTGATAACCTTCTTATTTGCTGCGCGTAGATCGGCATTTTCTTGCGCTAATAGCGCTGTATGGTGTAACGCGATACAGTGGCCCTTGATAATCTGATCTAGTATCGTTTTCGATGGGCTTGTAGGGCTATTCGACCGCTGATTTAGTAGATCTTTAAGCATCGATGCTTGCTTTTGTAGCTGAATCACCGTTCTAGGTGTTTTCGGTGTAAATTAGCTAGATCTGCTGCTTGGTCGGCTAGTTAGTGGTGTAGGCGTTCGTAGAGAGATATTAAGCTTCGAAAGTACTCTTTCAGCATCGATTGGTACTAGCCCACTAGCTGCGAAGCTAGTTTAGATAATCGTTGGTTAAAAAGCCTCAAGCCGCGCGCGTTGGTAGTTATCGAGGAAATCAAACTTATCGATATGGTTACAGCCCCTACGCGCAAGATCACTTATAAAGCGACCGTACGAGTGTTTCAACACTGCAAAACAGCCAATATCTAGTAGTTGTAGTAGATACGATAAATACGCAGGCATATAGAGTGATATTGTTAGGGGGTCTGTTTCGCAGGACAGAAAACCTGTTGGCTAGGCAGAGAGTCCAAGTCTATAGGGTCTAATTTCAAAGACTGAATCTTAGAGTCCGGGTAGACTCCACCCACTAGTTTTCACAATATACATATGGGGTCCCCGTGTACCGAGTCCCCACAACCCCACATGATGTCTTGAGGGTTGTTACCCTAATGCGGCGCGGGGTCGATTCGATCGTGAATCGTTTCGAGTCACCATATGTGACTCGCGCCGTGACAGATATAATATCGTTTTCGGCGTAAGTTCGATCGAATTAAGGCGTAAGATAGCTACCGTGGCCATCAAGAACTAGTAGTCGAAATCGACCTCGTACGCGCGAATATATTAAGGGGATAAATAGCTTTTATAGCCAACGTAGGCCAATCTCATCGGTAGTCCAGCCATTATTCGAGGCCTCAAATCGCTAATCTTGTGGTAGATTATCAAACCAACCAGCGATAACAACTTTGCCTTTGAAAATTATATATAGCGGTAGCGAATAGCTATCGGCGTAAATTACTTCGATAGCAGTAACCCATTCGCGATTTCCTGGCTACAATATCGATCGCCGACCGTAGTATTCAGCTCGCGTAACAACCTTTTGTGTTGATATTAGGCCCGTTGCAAACCCTGTCTCATCGAAGTTATAGATATCCCGCGGTTGAATACCGTTCTCATCGATCACGCGTTATACGGTCGTGAACCACGCTCGTAGCGATTTTGGATCTTCGTTTAGGGCGCGTTAGTAGTCGTATTGCCTAGAGAAACGCGATCGAATCTCTTCGCGTCGATGAATAAAGGTTGATGGCAAATTCTTACCAACAGTAGGTAGAGGCTGGCTACCGCGGGCGGCCAGTAGAATATTAGCCATCTCTCGTATATCAGCTAGCCTAGGCGCTGCTTCACGTGTATCTAGAGAGATGATCCATTCTACTAGCGAATCCTCCTCTAGTTGAGTTAATTTATGGCCAGTTGGGCGTCTATCGACGCGTGCAAGCACGCCTTTCGCGCGATCGGCTAAGGTTATATAAGGGAGATAATATAGCCTCGCGGCTGCGCGTATAGCTTGATTTCGGCCGTTTTTGATATCGTCAAGGGCTAATAAGATCTTGCCCTCCTGATCGGCCGATTTTAACCAGGAATCAGAGCGTTTTGGTGGCATGGTAGGTAGTTGAAGTTGATATGTAGGTATGGACACGCGAATTTGGAGAGGGTGTACGGAACGGCCGGGAACTACGTTAATTGTCTTTGGCCCGGGCTCTCCGAGACAATATGCTGGAAAGCGGGAACTAGATTCGTCTATCAATGTCCCAAGTCTTTGATATTTGCATAAACGATAGCAACGTCTCAATATGCTGCATCTGCATCTAACACTTCTAAGATAATTGGTGATGATCCGGCGAAATTACTTTACACGGCCAAATTACTCGCAGCAAAATCTGTAACAGACGACCTTGATGGTACCCCGAGGATAGATATCAAGTCTCTGATCCACAATTTGGTTGTGTAGGATATTGGTTGCGTATGATCTTTCTACCGGGGGCCTTCTGGCCGTTGTTTGTTCAGCATGGGTTCAACTTTGGAGCCTCAGAGACACTGAAAGAGCCTACAAGCCTTGACTGATACTGATAAGCCGTCAAGTTGAGAAACTGACGAACTTCTGGACAATATGGTCCTGTTGAGTTGGATTTCTGTTGCAATCACCGTAAATCATCAAGGGCTATGGCGTGATTTTGGAGGCCCAGCCGCCAAATCGGCCGAGATCAGGTGCTAGTTTGTTTGGTATTACTGCGGAAGAGCTTGAAGTCCCTTGTCCCTACCATCAATTTGAATTTCTTTAATAGGTCAAACTTCGTTGACAGACTTACTGCATATTTAATCTATAAGTGTGTGTGACTGGGGAGGTGGTCTCCACCCAATCATGCCCGATCAGAAAAATAAGATCCATATCATAGGGAAGTGCTCAGGGTTTCAAGCTGGATGATGTGCGAGACCCAAAATGTAGAAAAGCTTTGCCAATGAGGGTTGCAAAGATAACGGTACTGTGATATTAGGGAGACTTGCTTGGTTTCGCCATGGAGGCTACTTATCCCGAACACCGCGCAAAGGTGCAAGTCTTGTTCGAGTGACGTACACAGGACCCGTACGCCTGGGTTCAATGGGAATGTAAACAGCGAGACAATAAAACGCAATGGGAAGAGCATGGCCATGGTGAGGAGCTACAACAATGAGCCTTGCATAGCCTACAAGTGAGACTTACGGCCTGTCGATGATGAAATGTAGTTTTACAAAGATACAACTACAGCTGCTCTCAACCGACATTGAAGTGAGCGATGATCTATTTAAACACTATCCCATGTGCTAAATATAGTAAGAACGGCATTCCGAAGACAACATCCAACCAAATTGATTTGAAACACAACTAAATGCGGCAGACTATGATTAGAGGGAGCGAAGGTGGGTGCCCAGAAAGGGCCAGAGTTATCAGCCCGTATCAAAAATATACTGTGGAATGAAGTAGCAAATTACGTCTTACGAATATTGAACAAGCACTTTTTCGACAAGTGAAATGCCCATTGATGACCCAAATCAACTACTATATTTGCTACGGTCCTTTCTTATTGTTACCTGTAAATTAAAGCTAAATAGTTCTCTGTTGCATGGTCATAGCAGCTTCCTGCTCGGTCATTTGGCTCTGTAGCTGGTACGAGCATTAATCTGGAAAGTTGCTCTCCAGGCGCAGAGAAGACCATTCCTTGCAGTAAAGTGCTCTGCGGCGGAGAACAGAAAGCCATAACTCCTCCAGATAGGGAAGGAAAGCAAGAGTCCATTTCTCATTATCGGAGATCTAAACTCATCGACTAGAAGCGATACGACTACAATATTCACAGCAAAGTTGAAGAATAGTTGTCTATAATAGGATCGAAACTCCACCATCCCGCCATCGACCCAGCCAACGTGGATAATATTGATGTGAGATGAGACAGCAGTCATGCTAAGTGGCCCGAATTCTAAAAAAGTCTTGGTTTGTAAAGACTATAGTGGGTCTAGAGGGGTAAGAGTGAAGCGGAAAGTGATCATTTCCATTCAATATGTCGCAGCCGATGGCCGAATCCTATTCCCGGTGATCATCTGGCCCGCTCCCACCTATCGCAGCGCATAAAGCATTCATCCGATACTAGGCTGGCAATTTAGTTGCTCAAAATCTGGCTATACTGACAGTACGATTAGTTTCTATTGGATCAAACACGTGTTTGACCCGCAGACTATAGCTGAGGCCGGCAGCAAGCCACGCCTCATCATAGTGATGGATTTAGTAATCATGAATCGATGGAAATATTAGATTTCTGTTTGAAAAATAAGAGATTTTCCTGTCGACTGCCATCGTCATCGTATAATTCCTCCAATAGGCTCCGAACATGTGTGTTGTGTTCTCATCATTGAAAACCGAATATTGACCAGGTGGAATCGTTGAATCGTGGATGTGCTGGCAGCATTAGAAAACGACATTTCAATTATTCTATAGCCGTGCTCGCAGTGAAGCTTCACACGTTAAAATGTTCTTTCGGGACAGTCAAAGAGCATACCTCGGCCTTTCAACCCAGAAAATGTTATTGGGAGCATCCAGAAGCCGTCCGAAGACATAGCGGAGCTTCAGCGTGATGCCCGGGTCAACGATTACCATGCTTCTTCTGACGAGCATCCTGTCACCCCTGTCACATTTGATGGCCTATATCTCCTACGTATACGATTGAGGAGGATGTACGTAACCTGATAGCGTGTGGCAATTTTTGCTTCCAAATAATGCTCAACGCTACCGGATTGGCATTTGCGAAGCGTTCTCTTCTCCTGCAGTAGCGGATAGGGACACAGATTGACAGATTTCTTTTTCAAGTCATATCTATAAGACCTATGTAAGCTATCAAGCAAATAGAACGTATCAAGTAGCCATTAATTTATGAATTTACCTCGAAAATTGGTACAATAGAATAAATGTGTTACCCACCATCATTGTTTATCCTCAACGCAAGCGCACAACCCGCGATCTTTTCCTTCGAATTGGGTAATTTGGGTAGTTTCAGCAGGCCGTGAGGGTGAGAACTCAAATATTTCGTTACATGCGAAGTGCTATTGTTAGTAACTTAATGCTGCACCGTATGTGAACCTCTCATGACCCTAATGATCTTTGAAAGGCCAGATGGACGAGAATTGTTACGGAAGGGCTTGTACTGGGAGGCTTCGCACGAAAAGGAATATTAAATAATGGTCTCGGGTAGACGGTAGACTCCGTTCCAGAATTTCGAAGCCAAAAAGTCGTCATAATGTACAGAAGAACTGGGAGAAAAATAAATGGATTCGAATTTGGAAAGAGATGAAGGGGGGATGAGCACGCTTATCGAAGGGACTGATATACTGCGCGGCACAAAAGAACACCTTTAGCTCTACATTGAAAATAAAAGGGGTTGAAATGTAAGTTGATTGGCGGTAGAGGAAGATAGGCGGCTCGTAATGGGTTCTAGATGGTAAGGTGAAAGAATTTGTTTATACTGCCGAATACTATCCAAAGAATTACATTTCTTTTCTAAATACTATACCACTATACCTCATTACTATACCTCACCGAATGCTGTACCAACTATAAGATCTCTTCTCCTTTGAAGGCTCTTAAAGCATTTTCCATTGACCACGGATCACTAAATAAGAATAAGAATTATCAAAACCTGACGCAATACTATGCAACAATGCTCGATAAATGTCATATCATTGACTGCTGAGGCAGTGGCGGGTGGATACCGTTTTGATTTGCATCAATTACTGACTGGGGGGGTTGTCAGAACACCCTCGCACACTCTGCCAGCGCCACCGTCACCATGACTCGTGTGAGGAATTGCCGTAAAGACGAGTGGTCATTTCTGATATATAAACGATTCATCCCTCTTAAATCGTTCCAGATATTAGCGATTCATCCTACGCCATATAAACGGACGGTCATCTTCTGTCAATCTGTTTCCCAGATCCACCTCAACCCGTACTTCTATCACACCGAGCGACCATAGAGTCATGCGATTCACGATGTGTTCTAACTGCCACCGCGCCATTGATGCAGACCCGAGGCCAACGCCGCATAGTCAGCCCGATGGTGGATTCCGATGTCCAGAAAGGGCAGGAGCCCTCTGGATGTGTCCTTTCTGCCCTTGCGACCTGCTTGATCTAGAACAACAGGCTTTTCATATCGAGGTTGAGCATCCGCTTCTGCTTCAGGAGTGGTGGCATGGACTTGGTCGAATTCATGCAGGCTGGCATGGCGGAAAGTGAATGGAAGGATAGGTGAGATGCGGAGCCCCTATATCACAATTTGTAGTGCTGAGTACCATGGGGCCACACAAGGCAATGCTAAATAGGAGCAGACTACCAATTAGTTTCCTTGGCCCTTACTCACCAAGGTGGCGCGACATAGGAAAGAAAAGTTCGGATAGCATATCGACACAGCTTTCTACACAGAAACGATCGGCGAAAGGGCGCAGAAACCAATCCAAGACAGAGGACCAGATAAAGATTCAATTATACACTTGAAGTTGAGACGTACGAGACGCCGTCTAAATTGAGCAAATCCCACCACGGTCAACATCAATCTGAAAGTGGTTTCTCACTTCTACCATTCTTCGTTTTTGGAACGTCGACGGGGCTAGCTCAGTGACGAAATCAGACAAGCCTGACTTCGGTTATAGTATTACATGAGGTAGCGCGGTAGGGGGCTGGCCTATCCTGAAATGTTACGCTTCCGAAGTTCCGAGACTAGATTACGTGAAAACGACCAATTCCCTCCACCGATTTGTGCACTTTCCGTGGAGTCCGAGGTCATTGTAAAGCGATTTATTTGGCGAGGATGACAGGAATAAAATGAAGTTAAATTCAATTTCCAGGACACCCTTGCCCCCTCCTCGATCTCAATTACGGCGCCGATAACGCAACGGTGGAATACTGGCAAACATTATGTATAGAGCGAGGAGATTGCAGCTCAACGGACAGCCTTTCTGGGCGTCAGAAGGCTAATGATGAGTCTTTAAATGCTCCTCGTTCCCCCGTCGAACTCACTGTATAGACAGGCGCTTGTGAATCTCTATATTGATCTGATTGGCTGACTGAGATCACGTCGAAGAGGGCAGGAAATCAAGTGTCTCTAATTCGAAGGTTTGGTCTACAGTGCCGCCCGTTATTGCCTTCCATATCTAGAGACAATAAGATGCTCTTCCAAACCCTAAACAGGTGATGGGATAAACCCAATATGGAATCGCGTAAATTACGCGTTATGACTATACGTAGTACTGGTACCTGATTTTGTACCCCTAGTTATACCGATACAAGTCGCTGTAGGCAGGAGACGACTAGAAGGTTCTATGTAAACTAAAAAAACCAGCGACCTTTAGCAATCCAGCAACTTTCCTCTCTCATCCCTCAGCTGCCTCACTGCAGAGGGTTTGATGCTACCTTTAGTGTCCATCTCTGGTCAAGTTGGTAGGCAAGACTTGACAGTATGATTTGTTTTGTTTCGTGATTACTATTGCTTATCGCTATGCGGCGGATTGCGATGTTCATTGGGCATCAGGTATTCCTGGCTAACCTTTCCCGGAGAACAGCTCCAGGCTACCCTTCCTCTGGACATATTCGCGATGACCCATAGCCCTTTTGATGACGATCCAGATCAACCTTGGATAATCGGACCTATGGGAAGAAATAGTTTTATTTCTTACGCCAAGGTCTGATTTGCTACGCACTGCGTAAAAGGGGAGAAGTCTTTTGCGTCGAGGCGTCTCATTGATTCTGGCTTGGGCCACAATTATTGAGATTACGATTATTGGCATATAAGCTGATTGAATTTATCTGCGTTGCCTCAACTATAGAATGTGCCATTCAAATCTACAGCAAGGAAGCATTGCCTAGAACCTTCCGGACTCGTATATATTTTATAACATACTTAGCTCTTGGTTTAACCCCTTTTCAATGTCCCGCAATCGTTCCCCTGATAATTATTTCCTCCGTACCTGAATTGCCGATTTCAAGTCCCTTGCCAGACCCTTTCATGTCACAAGTTGCTCTTCAAATGTTGGAAGGCTCTCTCATCTTATGTAAGAACCTCCTTTTGTGTATTTGGCTCGATGTTTGACGGGAAGACCCATGAGTTGGTGGTGAGATTATAGAGAGGGACAGCCGGAGGGGACCGTTTGTTAAGAGAAATGTCTTTTCCACTTAGTTGCTTGACTTCGACATCCGGGCGTTGTTTCACACATTGAAGAGAAGACGCAGAAATGTGAGGGCTTTTAAGGTCAATACGTGGTGAGACGGCCAGCGATATATTGTTAGGCATATGCCACACCTTGGCTGCCACTGTCTTGTGTTTGACTTCGGTGCAAGTCGTTTTGACCTCCTGCGCCAACTCGGACTTGGTCAATAAGTCGCTTTCGTAGTCCTTCACCGATATCTCTTTGAAGTCGTTACTTTGCGATTGTTCCGTTTGCTCCACTTTAACGACATATTCCGCTTCAGACACTTTGGGAGGCTTGACTCTAGGAAGGAGCCTGGTGATTTCCTTGCCAGTTTCTGGTACCGGTAATTGGCCAACACCTTTCTCGGCAGCGATCGTTTTGTTGATCACAATCTCCCTAAAACGACTCAATAGCTTTTGAGCAGTGACCTCCTTCGTCTCGCGATATATTCCCTTTATCACGTCTTTCCACTGGTCCTTCAAGTGGCCTTGAAGATCATAAGGCTTGGCTGATTGTACAAATCCAGCCCAGTCCCTTACAGTCCGCTTAGCAAGTTCTTTGCTAGCCTCAAACCACTCTTTATGGCTCTTCCCGCACCACGGGGCTTTACACCTTCGCTCTCGGCGCCATTCCTTGATTAGTTCATAATGTGTAAGGGTCTCAACACGATGAGCGTGAGGAATATCATTCAGGCTGAATAATAAGTTTGGCTCATAACCGCAGTTTGACCAGTGTGCTAGTCGATCCGAAACTGTCTTTGCTGTCCAGCCAATCTTTACATGGCCAGGGGAAGATTCGTGATCAAAAACATAAAGTGATCCTGTCTCAAAATCTCGCTTTTTGAGAGGTGTGAGCATCTTTTGATACACTGAATCGCCGGGAGAAGGCTCTACAATGTGACGACGAAACTCGGATAAAGCAGGCTGAGTGACTGCAAAGGGCTGGCGGTGAGCGAGATTTTCAGAGCTGTTTATACGGCGGGTCCGAAGGTTCTAACCTTTTTGGTCTTCAAGTCCGTTGGATATGAGGCCGGAAGTGCTTGAGGAGGTTGGTAGATGACAGGTATATTCATCTGACGCCTTGAATACGGACAGTTTCCTAGTAGCATCAGAAGCAGCTGCGGCGGGGGCTCGGTCGCGAGCGAGCCTATGGTAACTATTAACCATGGGCTCCAAAGAAGAATAATTAATGTTTGTCACTCACCTGACAGATTTTGCTTTATTTAATGACAAGACCGGTTGTGCTCGAATCTCGTTGAGCCATCTCTGGGCCAGTGGTGTCAAAAGTTGCAAATCTTCTATCTTGTCACGATGCTGAACACGTTCCCATAAACAGCAATTGCATTGGGCGTACTCGCTTAGTATTTTGATATTAATATCTTCAACTGGCGTCGCCTTGAGTAGATGCTGAAGTTCGACTGCGCGTTGATTGTCTTGATCCCGGCAATTGCTTTTGCACCTTGCGCCTTTCTGTGTGAAGAAAATGCATTGCTTCTGAGTCGATGGGTCAAGGTCATTGAATGATATAAAAAAAGATATATCAGGATTGAGGACCATAGTGAAGGAAGCTGGGCTGGTCAGTCTTTCAATTGTTACTCGTTTCGCAGAGTCGAATAAGAAGAGGTGCGGAGCAGCTCACCTGAATGTGAATGAGAGGTAGGTCACATGGGCGTTTCTTGTGAGTTACAATACCAAGAGTAACAGGAATGTTCTGGTAATTTTTTTCGAATTCTTCCTAGAAATCTTCCTAGAAACTTTGCATGGCTTTGAGGCAGTAGAACCTTCCCCATGGATGGTAAACATCCTCGTTATTTATTTGGGATAAATGACGATGCGGTACGTTAAGATCGATATAGACAGTGAAATAGCTATCCCAATGTAAATTTATTGGTTCGCCGTGGGAAAAAAGTCAGGAGAATGCATGATTGGAATTGGAGTAGTCACCAATTGTAAGAAGAATGTACTACAGGCTGTCTAGCGAGAGGCCACGATAACTTCCAGGATGATAGGGAGAAGAAGTTGACGAGGCTCCTACCCAAGGGCCCGTGGGGCAAGGTCCGTTGCCTGCTGTACAAGTGTCAGGTTTACAGAGTAAGTGCAGGTCAGCTCTCTGTCTTAGTGGCTAATAAGAGTCTGCAGTATGTGAAGGCTGTGGTACAAAATAGGCAGGTGCCAAGAGTGAAGGACTTGTCAGGAACCCGTCATGTGCACGGTTCATCTGTGCCCCTCCTCACCTGTGAGTTGCAACCGGAACATCATTCATTTTTTTGGCATCATTGACCCTTCACCATACAGGTTTCAACCACTCTCGCAATTCAAGAATGACCGGAGGACATGAAGCAAATCCTACGCACTTTGTAACCAAGTAGGTGGCTGAATGTCTCTGATAAGGACTCATCTCACATCTGAATGCTTCTAGTATCCTTCCCCTCTATCACGGGCCGCTTGTCAACATTCGAATCGAGCCTAGCAATTTAGAATATGCTATTTCAAGGGCCTTCTCTCCGCGAAATCACCAATTTTCTCAAAGATGTTTGAAGGCAACTTTCTAGAATCCCCGCAGCAGACAGCGATTCTAGAAGAAGAGGAATCCATTGTGTCAGTACGGAGCCTTGAAGCACTTTTTCAATGGCTTTATCTCCGCGTTATCAAATTTGATATAGAAGATGCTGAGGAGCATATGTCCGCTGCCATGGAGCTCGTGAGGCTTGGAGACAAGTACGATATTGTCGGATTGGACCATGAAATGGCCCAATATATTAAAGGCGTACTGCTTGCCAATCTTCATCCAACGACCAACCGATTTCACCGCCATATTGACAACAATACCTACTGCATTACACGTGATCATATTTTCTCAGCAACTCGCTTGCCTCGAGATCATCCGGTGCGATGTATTTTGGCTGCTGCGTCAGTCGAAGGGTACCTTCGGAGCGACACGCACAAGTTTGCTGAGGAAACCCAGCACCATCCTATTTTCAGTGCTGATTTGCTCCGAGAGGTGAGGTTGGCACTGAACGGGATTAAACCTGTTCGAGGCGCGACCTTTGAAGATCCAATTACTGGAGTAAGATCAGAGCTGAACTCAGTCGGACTATTTTGGGATTAATTGTGCTGTCGTAAAGCAAGTCATGATCCTCGAAACGTTTGATTTTTGTTGGTCTAATCTTCTATTTATCGAACGCTGAGAGAGCGACCTTGAGCTTATTGTGTTCGATTGTGGGCACAAGTACGGATTCGGGTCTCGCATCCTTGGGCTAGGAATCTCAGCCACAGCTATATGGGCTGGCGGGCGATGTAGGCAGGGCCATATAACTGTCTCGGGAGTGAATCCGTTCATCCATCGCGGTTCGAATGGGAACTCCAGGTCAGAGGGTGTGAAAGAGCGACCCCATGGTGAGTGGGATAGTTATTTTTGGATATGGATCAGGGGTTATTTTTGGACATGGACATGTAGCAGTACATGACTCTGCAGTTTTATACTTTCATGCTTGTTACCGTGTAAATCTGGAACAAGTCTTTAATTACGGACCTTTTCATATACGGTTTAGCGCATCAAGTGATTAGGGTTCGAAAGAGCACCTCTGTGTTACCGGATATGGAAGGCAAAAACCGTCGGCACTGTACTAATAATATTTTTGCAACCGGATGAACTCGGTGTGACCCAGCAGCGAGTGGCCTCTGCTTCAAAAATTCGCTTCGTTTATCAGTGTTAAAGCAAGTTTATACACTATTCGCCGTTGTGAAAGATCATCGTGAAAATTGGTAATAGAAGTGATGATATTAAATCCCGAATTTTCAAAAAATCCTGGCCGACGAAGTCGCTAGATACTCTTGCCCAAGGATTTTTTTAAGAACCCATGGGCGCTGCCAGTGTAGATACCCATCTAGATCCGAAACCCCTTGTATTTCTTTCTCATGGCCCCTTCCTTTTTCGATGCCTGCAAACTTTCGTGTAGCGTCTTGTATGACCCTATACGGAGCATATATATACATAATACATACTGGGATCCGACAGCGGCAGCTTAGATTCGACGAACCGTTTCCCTCTTAAACTTGTCTGTTGTGCAGGAACCGGGGCGCGCAGACCCAGGTCTCAGGACCCAGGGGGTTGGAAAGGTTTTCTCCTGCATAGACGGGACAGGTCGTTTCTTCTTTGCAAAATCGATTTTGAGTCTCTCCTTTTTTCCCGATTGAAGGGTCGTTCAGTAGTTCGATCGATGCTGCCTCTGGCACCACCACTTCGATTAGCAACTTCCCCTTCATTGTCTTTCACTGTTTCGAGTAAGTTCTACCGTCTCCTTTTTCCTTCAGTCAATCATATCTACAGCTACCTGAATTGTGTTGAGAACATGAGAGAACTACGGACTTGGATTTCTTCTGCAGAAGAAATCAGTCTCGGAGAGCAGGGACACACCCACCACGTGTGCCACGCGTTGACGGGAGTTAGCGGACTTGGATTGCGAACTTGGATTTCTTCTGCAGAAGAAATCAGTATCGGAGGGGAGATACCGTGAACCACGCGCACCAAGGAAGATACCGTTAACCACGCGCACCACCTTAAAAACCTGGGATGTACTGTAGCTTCTTCTTCTTTCTCTTTTTCCCCTCCAGCTCTTGAGATCCTCGAATACCACGCAGACAGTTGAATAAGAGTTTATGAGTCCTTCTAAAACTTTTCCTAACTGGCGTACAACAAATTGTCTCTTTCGCTGCCTTCCTCTTCCCGTAGGTCTGTAGGCTTTTCGTATTCCTACAAGTGCTTCTTGGAATCAAGAAATGTTCCTTTGCGAGCCAAGAGATTATTTGACTGAGGATCTTACGAAGGAAAACCCTGGAAGGTGAAAACACTCGACGTTGAAGAGAGAAGGAAGAAGGAAGCTAAGCTAGACTACTGAGGTTGGTGGTCCTAGGTGGTAAGAGGGTGTAGCCCATGTGTGTGCCAGGCAGTATGGCAGGCCTCACCACAAACAGAGATCACGCACATTTCAAGTCCTTCAAGCTTAGGAGGTCACGTGCTAGTCCTGGCGGAGTCTTGAAAGGAGCCTGAGGCGAAGATATAAGTCTCATAGGTGCCTTCGTACATTCCGTCCGACCATCAATACACCACTTGCGTTATCCGTCCACGGGAGTCCTCTGCCATTCTCTTTTCTGTCCCAGCCGATGAACTTAATTAAGTCGAGGTCTCTAAATACCAGTGTTGCATTTCCATCTCATAGTGGAAGCTCGGTTCTGATAGCAATGCTTTTGGTCGATTCTTGATCAGTTCCACCTGACTGAGGCTTTCACAGTCTCTGTTACGTTGAGAAAGGTGGCGCTACAGATCGAACCTCGGTACAAGACGATAGCTACCCAGCTTCTTTTCGTGCCTATATCCAGGGTCCTCTGGGAGAACCATTCTATGCTCTTGAGAATGCGACTGAAAAAGTAGCGAACATATACAACGAATCGACACCTAGCAAGCCATCTTCTTGCACGGCTTCACCAGTATCGCTCCTTATTCGATTTACCAACACTTATATCTTTCGTTCGACAAGCATACCATTCCAAACATCCAACGCACCGAGGTATATTTCCTATCTACAAGGTAATATAGGATCTCTTCCAATGATAGATATCTTCTCTAAAGGCTATACTGATCCTATCCGACGATCCTCAAGACCACCTTACTGCCTCTGTCTTGTCTCCACGAAAGAAGTCTGGCTTTCAGCGCCAGGCACGGATCAGAGCGCTGTGTCATACTTTCTGGGGGCACTTTTACGATATGATAAACCCACATCAGTGCCCGAAGAATACCGAGGCGGAGCTCAGCCTCGCTCTGTTTCTCGACTATGCGCTGAGAATCTACGATGTGGAGAATCTGTCAATACAAACAAGTGATTAGTAGCTCTTTGTCTGGCCTCTGCGTACACACTTGGCTTAGACCTCAGCACCGAAGAAGACAATATCACCCAGTTGGTTCAATTCGAGTGTCGCTCAGTTATACATGACTTGAGCAGCCACGGTTTCGTCTGGGCCAACATAACGGTCAGAACACACATTTCCTTGCGGCTATCGGGACGCGGAGCGGCGGAGTACATGTCGTGGGCAGATTCAAAGTAATTGAGCAATTGAGAAAAGTCTGTTCCTGGTCGCTATTTAGCCTACAGTATATATTGACTCCCACAGTTTTCCCACAGAACTGTATCTTAAGATTTCCGGACTCGCTGTATCAACGCTACTGAAGAGCTGACTTTGTAAGGACCATTTGCCTTAAATCACGACAGACTTTCCGGCAAAGTTTGGGGACAGCAGGGCTTTCCACCGGAAAATATTGTTTCCTACCAAATGTGATTGATTTTGAACTCTGATGTGTAATCACTTGCGTCCCCCAAGACATATCTCCCTCTTACCACTTTTTCACTACAACCATCGAGCAGGGTAAATTTGCAGGAACAATTTTGCAGAGAATATCCAACATTGGCTGGCTTAGACCCTCTCACAAAGCTTCTGTCATAAGAACCCGCTCATTATGGAGCGGCATGAATAAAGATTACATAGATTGAAAGACCAAGCAAATCAAGGATTGTACAAAGCAACGACGGACTAGACTTGGTAAGGAAACTGATTCTCAGACCTCTATAAGATCCAATGATTGTGGATGGCTCGGTGATCTAAGCACTTTATCACTACCTAATACCCATAAGTAAACGTAGATTACCATATCACCTAGTATAGCCCGGAAAATGCAAAGGCCGAGTTAAACCCCAGTCAAACTCGGTCCAACCTAGCTAAGATTATATAGCGCTCTCAGTGTGAAGGGCTGTAGCAGAACTGATTCAATTGTACTAGGTCAACATGCTGTTTACAACAATATTGAGAAAAGAAGGGAGAAGAGATAGGAGTCGGTCGCGGTACTTAACAGTGTCGATCCCGTCTCGGATAGAATCCACTAGAACCTCGCTCGGAATCCTTCTGCCAAGACGATATCCGGAAGACCATGGCATATGGTTAATCACCGGGCTCTGGCCCGTCACACTTAACTCCTAAGAATTCACCAGTCAGGTAGCAAATCATTCCCTGGCTCGGATCAAATGCCTAAGTCACTTTGATTCACGCGATCATTACAGTCGTCTTAGTGAAATGACACGAAAAGGTTAGCTGATTTCGGGTCTCCGGGTCAATGATTGGCCAATCAACTGATAGCCCGAGGCCGTCGAGTAATCCCATTCAAGGACGCTTTGAGGCCATGGTTATTTTCAATGTATTTAGCATTCCTGGTTACATATTTAGAATTAAGGCTTTTGAACCAATCAATCACGCATTGGGCTTTGTTGCTCTAATAAGCAGCTTCTGAGGATCCTTTGATTCGTCGTGATAATGATATGGTAAGTAACACCGATGAACGCCCTCGAGGCGACCGGTCTCCCGTCAGCGAGCTATGAAGCGGCGACCGGACTTGATGTCGATCGACCCTGCGAAAATTATGCACTGAGTAGTTGGTATTAAATAGCCAGAGTGTTGCCCAGCACTGGACACAAGACATGGACCATCTAGTTGTCGTCAGAATGTCCACCAATCTCCCCGACGGGGCGGGAAACGGGATGGCGAGGCCCACCTCTGCTGAAGACTGTGGACCTCTCTGCCGATCCTACATAGCCCTGAACAAAATTCTGCCAACCTAGGACTTTTCGAAGTGTAGCTGGTGGCGGTGCTGCCTGAGTCATACTGGGCGGTGTGCTGTTCTCTGCATGCAAGGAAAAACCAGGAAACACCAATCACAATGCTCTTAGTGTTTGACTACCGCCCACTTCGGATCATTTATGGAACTGACCGTGACACCAGCGCCGTAAGAGCTCCAGATCTCGATACTGATTCGTGGAGATCAAAGTCTCTCGTAGGCGCCCCGGAGTGGAGTGTCCAAGGGGCTGCCGGGTTTGGATTGGACGCCTCCAGAAGATGGTAACTCAGGTCCGGGTGGTACACTACCCCCAGCCTTTCGCCTATTACTTGCTAACCTAATGCTGGTCCGTGTCCAGATTTCCTTCCCCTTACACTTCCCTTTTCTCTTCCCCTTCATGAGAATCCTTTCCATTGACGTTACACCACCACCATTCGGAAGACCTACGT